GATTTTCGCCCAACTACCGTATTCCTACCGTAACTTCGTTATATGGGCGAATGGTGAAAAACGAATGTTATTTTCGTAATCAGCGTGCCAAAAAACCCCAACGTACCGAGTTTCAGCCAATTTCGTGACTTTCGCCCAACTACCGTATTCCTACCGTAACTTCGTTATATGGGCGAATGGTGAAAAACAAATGTTATTTTCGTAATCAGCGTGCCAAAAAACCCCAACGTACCGAGTTTCAGCCAATTTCGTGACTTTCGCCCAACTACCGTATTCCTACCGTAACTTCGTTATGTGGGCGAATGGCGAAAAATGAGCATCGGATTCGTGATCAGCACGTCCGATAACCCCCGGAACCAAAATTTTACAAAATTTCAAATTTTTGTGTTCAACGGTACGATACCCCCCATCATGCTTCATGAAACTCAGAGCAAAATCTACCCCGGAGGACTTTTTTCTGGACCTCTGCGTTTACGCACTATTTCTCTTTCTCTAACCAAACTCAGAGTTAACTCCGAGTTTGGTTAGAGAAAGAGAAATAGTGCGTTAACGCAGAGGTCCAGAAGAAAGTCCTCCGGGGTAGATTTTGCTCCGAGTTTCATGAAGCATGATGGGGGGGGGGGTATCATGGTGCACCGTTGAACACAAAAATTTGAAATTTTGTAAAATTTTGGTCCCGGGGGTTATCCGACGTGCTGATCACGAATCCGATGCTCATTTTTCGCCATTCGCCCACATAAGGGGGTTACGGTAGGGGTACGGTAGTTGGGCGAAAGTCACGAAATTGGCTGAAACTTGGTACACTGGGGTTATTTCGCATGCTGATCACGAATATAACATTCGTTTTTCGCTACGGGGCCACGGAGCGGGATTACGGTAGGTATACGGTAGTTAGACGAAAATCACGAAATTGCGTGAAACTTGCAGTGGGGTTTTTTGGCACGCTGATCACGAATATGTTCATTTTGAAATGCGGAACCATTTAGCGAGGTTACGGTAGGGATGCGGCAGTTGGGCGAAAGTCACAAAATTCGCTGAAACTTGGTGTGGTGGGGTTATTTGCCATGCTGATTATGAATATGCTAATCATTTTGCATAAAAAGCAATTCATGGCTTTTATCAGCAAGCCATCAACGCCGTATTCCATCTTGAACCTCTCAGCAGCTGCGTGCGGTGTGAAATCAAAGCCTTAAGTCAAGTCTAATCCTTTTTTCAAAAACACATGCACCTTAAGTGGTCTCATAGAAACGCCCCTTGATGGCACAAATGGCTAGTAGGCTAGTAGGCAGTAGGCTCTGCCTACTTGAATTTCATTATCGTTTTCGCATGACCTTTTCAACCATACAACTACCAGCACTGAGAAACTAATATGTAGTCCCAACCACCTACTTCTCAGAAATGTAGTAACAGATTTTCGCAAGAGATTTTTTTTACCAAAACCAAACAATGAACTATGCTTTTTGCCAGTTTGTAATATAACTGTGAGGAATGGGAATTTTCATCGGATGAACGAACAACGGATAATTAGTCTTTGAAAATTTTTCGAACGAATGAATAGCGAATAATTGAATTTAAAAATTTCCAAACGAACGAATATTACTCGATTTCCGATTTTTATATTATTTGAATTCTAATATTCGAATACGGACACATTCCAAAATTCGAACTTTCGATTATTCGATTACCCACTTGATCGAATGACTATTCGAATAAACGAACAACTGAATATCATCGAATATCGAATGCAATAATTATTCGGATACTCGCATGCAAATTCGAATATTCAGTCGCAATAGTCGATTTGAATATTCGAACATGGATTTCTGAAGCTTCTCAAATATTTGTATTGAATAACTGTCTTTCTAAATTCCTCGCATATTCGAATATTCGAATAATTTATTCTTCCGATTTGTCGAATGAACAAAATTTTCGAATAAAGAACACTCATCAGCCAGCCAGTGGCGGTCGCAGGATTTCTCTCCGGGGGGGGGGGGGGGGGGGGACCAAAAAAATTTTGAATGGAGGTGCGTGGCCGCGCACTCCGAAAAACGGTGCTTCTCAAACTTTTTGCGGCTCCATACCTCCCAAAATGAAGAAAAAGGAGCGTGGTGCGAGCCAATCCTCCGAAAAAAATTTTTTACGGGGCTAATTTAAATTTTTAAAAATTTTCAAAAAATATTTTAATTATCTACACAAATAAATTAGTCACTTGCACATTTTTAAAACCCACGTAAGTAAATTCCAGAAAGTTCGCGACCCATTTTCGGTGGGGGGAGGGGGTTAGGACGCCCCCTCGGTCCGCCACTGCAGCCAGCCGATAGTATTATCAAAATGGTAGAGGCATGTAGATGATTTCATGATGTGTTTTTATCACATATGGTTTTTGCATTTTACATATGTTCGAGTTCGAGAGCTTTTGACTGAATTTTGATACTTCAATTATGTTTTGTCAATAAAGCAGTCACCGCTAGTTATCCTATTTAGGAATGCAGCTGGGATAATCTCTTCTAAGGTTGGTATTTTCTGAATAGAAGATATATCGTAAGTGGGGCTTGAGAATGGGGGGGGGGGAGGAGGAGTACGTATAGGTACTAGTGAATCACTCTGCTTAAAGCGAAAAGGCACCATGCCTCTTGACGTGTCTGAACTTGTAGGATGTAAGCAACGAGTTCTAATGGCGGCAGAATGGCGGTGGTACTAGGGTGTTGTGTAGCCTAGTGGTCTAGTAGTAGGCACTTCGCGCCAAGCAACGGAAGTTCAACTCCCGACCTAGTTGGAGTGTTTTGCGATGAAGCGTGTAGTAGCTCCTCAACAACCATAGCGGCTCCTTAAGTAGCAAAACGAAACTCCGAGTTTCAGAAACGAAACTCGGAGTTAACTCTGAGTTAACGCGCAGCTTTAAACTCGGAGTTTCGGCCAGATTACTACCGGCCCAGCTTTTTGTGTAGTCCCCTGATGATCCCCGGTGGCCGCCGTCTTTCTTTCAAAGTCACTTTTCTTTCTTGGCAGTAAACGAAAACCTTCTAAGGTATAAGCTCCTGCAAGACGAAGGCGGTCGATTCAATGCGCAACGCGGCTGCGACATGGCTGCGTCACAGCCGAGTCACAGCCGCGTCACAGCCACGTCGTACCTCGAACCGACCGCCTTCGTCTTGCAGGAGCTTATACTACTGTCCGTCTAATTCAAGAGTACTAAGTATGTTGCTGATGAGGACAAATGAGTTTTTGAGATATCGATTTTTCGATTAACCCCAACTTTCGACTTGTGGTTCATCGCATTCATGACTCCAAAACATCATTTGTTCTTATTATCAGCAACATGCTCAGAAAACCAGATATCTGCTTTAGGATATGAAGCCTTTCTTTTAGGCTGCGAACCCTTGCCCGGCGGGAATGTTAATGCACGCGGCCCTAAATCTGTTTCAAAGAAAAGTTTGATGGAAAAAATTTGTCTTGAGCCGGGGCCTAGAAGCATTAGGTTAGTGCAAAACTCTCGTTGTTGCACCAACTCAATACATGGTGTCCCAGAAGTATGCATGCTATTTGATCGTCACTATCTCTCTTTCCGGAAAAATCTCTTGCATAGTTTTGAGCATCATTTTGCAGAACTGGCTTCAACTTAGATTTACTGCAGGGAGCAAATCACCGATAGATCTTCATTAATGTAGGTACCGCAAAACTCGTAGCAAATGGCGCCACTGTAAGATAGACCGTTTGTAAAAATTCAAAAAAAAAGATTGTAAAATTGTCTAAGGTTGATATACGCTGATATTACTACACGACAATTTACGAGTTTTTGAAGTTTTTCGACTGAAATTCAATTTTCGATGAAAAAACGAAGGGCGGTTGTCACGGTATATCTGGCATAACTTTTGATAGAAGAATTACGGTGAAGCAATTCCATATCTGATATCAGCGACTTTGACCAAACGAGTGTAGGAGTTTTCAGCTTCTCTGTTTCTCATTTAAGTAAATTATAGCTCCTAATGACTCAGAACCCTCTCAAAGTTCCTACCGTAATCTTACAGTGAAGAAGGGATATTGGTGCTTCTCAACAAAGCTCCAAGTTTACTCTGGAGTTGGCATAATTTCATGCCTCAAATCAGCTTCTGCCTCGCACAAAGAATTGCGATGAGACAAGTGTCAATGCTTGTATGCTGATGTATCCCTGCTGAAGTATTTGTATGTTCTGCAGGACTAATCTTGGCCAAAACAGGTGGCCAAAACAAACGCTCGCATTTTTGGACAAGCACAAAATCTTACAACTTGAATATACCCTTTGATTCAATGGATTGGCGACTGGAAGGCGACCTCTCGCACCCGCGATGCAGTCTGTATTTCTTTCGCGAGCGTACTCTCTGATCATTCTCTAGCCTTAATTAGGCCTCGAAGCCCGCCTTCCCGCCAACCCAGTTGAATCAAAGGGGATTTTGTGTTTAGATTATCATTGAACTACAGAAAGGAAACTGAGTTTTGATGCTCAAATTGTGTTAACTCCAAAGTTAGGTTGGAACTCGCTTGAAAAACGCGACGGGTATAAGCAGACTTCTTAAGCGTCAAACATAATATCTAGCAAAAAAGCGGAATTCATAGCACCGGTAAAAGCTAAGTAGAGTGCTTGAACAGAAATACACACGTTACTGGAGCGCACGACTTTGAAGAAATTTTGAGCTCTTTGAGAAAAGTAAGGCGTCTCTTTTGTATTAAGTGGGCTTGGTGAGTAGCACGTTTCTCAATTTACTAGTGTAACTTCAAAACTTTGTCTCGAAAGATTGCACGAGAGCAAAAATAAGGAGTGAAATGTTCGTGTAATTATGAACCGCTAAAATGTCGCATTCGGCGCAAAAATATCGATAAGATTAACAACGTTTTCATTCTTGTGCCGTATATACGGTTTTTTAATGTTTTTTTTGAGTACTAAAAACGGTTCAGGTTTTTCCAAAGAAGTCCCGAGACTTCCAGATACAAGGTGTTCGTATAATTTTGAACCGCATTTAAAAATGACCATCCGTATTTTTACTGCCTATACAAAGTCAGCATTGTACTGTAATATCTACTCGAACATTGCAGCTTTAACTCCTGAGGAAAAAATAAAGTTAAAAGAAGAGTTGCATCCTGCTCAAGGAGACGATAGCAATCATCAAGCGAAAGAGAGCAGACAAGAACAAGAAGAAGAAGCAGTGGTAGTAAAAGCAGCAGAAACAGAAGACGAAGAAGAGGAAGAAGAAGAAGAAGAAGAAGAAGAAGAAGAGGAGGATGACGAAGAAGAAGATGGATCGTTTATGAATGGACCGTTTTCGATGCAGATAATGAAGTTTTTAGAAGGTAGGAAAAGGAATCAATGGCTGTGAAATTCCGAAGACAAAAAAATGCAAAACAAAAGAACCAGCATTCAAGTGATGGCTGTTGTATACTTCTTTGGATAATGACTCAAAAAAAAAACGAAATACGATTCTGACGAAATTCGAAATATTGCGACTTTTTCGATAAATGGCTAGTTTTCAAGTCCAAAAAAGAGTCCTAATTTTTTTTCCGCTTCATGTTCTAGCACATCACAAAGCCATAGCTATGGTGACGCAAAAAAGTTGCAGAAATTTTATTTATCAAAGCTAAAGTCAAGAGTATGCAAGTATCATCAAGTGCTGAAATTTCCAAAAAGGTGCAAACAACTTATGATAGCCTCAAGACAAACTATTTTTCCCAGAAAATGGCATTGACCCTGAGGAATTGACCGCTGAGGATCACGATGAAGGAGAGCCTGGGCAAGCAGCTGGGGACGACAAACAAAGCGACGGAGAGAGTGCTGGTAAGAAGTGATTAACATGACAAGAGACGGTTATTTAAATTTGAAGCAAGCTTATGGTGTAGCCTAATGTGAACACTCATTTTTCAGATACGTCCACTAAGAATAAGAAAGGGGAATCTCCTGAAGGAATTGTACAGCAAGGGGAAGGGCTAAAGTAAAAATGCCTTACGGATAAAAAAGAGAGATTTGAAGATTTGTCGTCTGCTTCATGAGTAAAGACGTCAAGCTCAATATTTTTCATTGTTATGGCAAAAGTGAACATGGCCAACTAGCTGTTTAGAAATGTTCAAAGGAAAGGTTTAGGTATCTTAGGAAAAAGGTTCCTAAACTACCCTTAAAACATTTAGATACCGAGACCATACTCAGTCGCCTATACCAACACTTACCTTCATTAGTTGACATAAACTAACGAAGTCACGAAGTGTTGAACCAAGTACCCTATTTTCAGGTGTATAAGCCGCACCCTTTTTGCTCTAAACGCGAGCAGACCCAGGCGTGCCGCTGCGCATGTGCCTCGCGAAGCGGTCGCTTTCTCGCACATTGCTCTCACTTAACGCGCCCCATCGTAACAGGCAATCTTTTGACGTGTGCGCCTTTAGAGTGAAAAGGGTGCGGCTTATATGTACACCTGAAAATAGACTTAGAACTGTCGAATAATCCAGAAGTACACGATGAAAACAAAATAGAAAATAATAAAAATCAAAAACTTCCTATTTCCATTTCGATCTCAAAAGCAAAAGGCAAACATAAGTTGGCGACCGAAGATGGCATGTATTATACATCGCTAGAGGAGTCTTTTGAACGTCGATTTCATATCTGCTTTCCTTTTGTGGAAAACTTTCCGAAAGAAATTATGAGCGTTCAATTGTCCAAATTTACCAAGCTTTAAATTAGCGAAAAGCTTTGCAATAACACCTATAATTGAATAATCAATTTTAAACCAAGTATATTGTCTGCAAGGAACGAACAGAGCAAGCGGTGGAAATTGGCGTAGGTATTTCTTTGAAAGCTTTACTCTAATCTTTAGCCACTCAACGCCTGACAAGTTCGGACCCAGACGATCATAACTTCTTCCGGAGAGTCGTTCTGCAAAAAGGGAAGCAGATTTGGAATTAACGTTCAAAGACGCGTCTGGTGATATACATTTCGTCATCAATCGTCAACTTGTGTTGGATATCCTTCCTTTATAAGACCCTAGCCCGAAATCAGAATAAAGGTGGGGCGGCTTTCCTTGGATCTCATCAGTAGTGGAAAAAGGCCCTACGAATTTCAACATAAAGAGAAAGGAAATAATAGGACCAATCCAAGCTTCCTTGGTAGAATCCTGAAGCTACTTGTTTACAGAAATTTCTGTGAAGAAGAAATGTTGGCGTGAAGTGTAATGAACTCAAAAAAGAACTGTGTACCACATGAAAGGAAATTTGGACAAACATTATGGAGTAAAAGATTTGGGGAGGATTGCGGGAAATTTCTAAAACAGTCACGATTAAGTTATTATAAATGTGATCATAAATAAGTGAAGCTTAGAAATTTATCGTGTGTGTGCTGTGTGCTGTGTGTGGTGTGTGTGTTGTGTGTTATGCGTGTGTGGCGTCACGAAATTCGTAAAGCGAGTTCCAGCATTGGTCGTCAGATGTCTGAGCCAGAATTTCAGTATTAGCACCCTATCAGTATGTAGGTAAAGTGTGCAAAAGCACAGGCCGATCCGATAAGTGGAACCTGTGAGAACTGCCAAATCGAACCAGGCGATTTTTGGCGCGCCAAAGCGGACATGTGATTAGAATTTCTTCAAGGTTGTGAATTTGCTTGAAGAGTAAATCCGCAAACCATGGACTCCAACCCGAAATGTGAGCAAAAAGTCTGCTTTCACGCAAGATCAACGCTCAAAAAGGAATTATCGCGTAAATGATCGATTTGTCGAAGTTTTACCCAAGAATTAGAGAAGATTTTTGCTAGAGATGTAACTCACGGTTTTCATCATCCTTATGGCAACTATCAAGCCATTTTAGCTCCATTACCTAATTCAAACTCGCATTTAATCTTTTGGAGAAAACTTTCTTCCCTTCGAAATCACCGATACATGAGAAAGCTTTTGGAATGAGTAGTTGTTTATTTTGCGGCCATGAGGAGGGCATGTGGGCAGTAGAACCAGTGCGAACCTCTGCGAAGCAGAGGTGGGGAGTAATATTGAACAAAAGGTATTTCATGCACAAAATGCTTTCATATCCAAAGCTGGGCCGCTTGAGCAATTTTGACGATTTTGTTCCACTTGCGCCAAATTTTTTAGCTAAAAACTCATAACAGCGTCCAGAAGCGCTCGACAGATAACGAGGACAGTCTTGGATCAGCGTTCATTGCTTTTCAGATGTTTTAATTTCATTTGGAATCTTTTCGACTTTGGGTTCTTCCCTTGTTAGAGGTATCTTGTGAAAATTTTCCTTTACATAAAAGTAAAGCTTATACCATACCAATCTTTATATATACATCTATACAACCCTGCTCATACAAATTCCTTGAGTAAAATCAGTCAACTGATGTAAGTAAAGGAGCGATTGAAGATGATGTGGCAGTCAAATTCTGATCAAAATTCATCATCTCAATATTAAACTAGCGATTCATATGCGATGTCGATGTCAAAGTAGTCATTATCACATGGAATGTCATAAAATTTCGGCAGCATCAAATACCAAATCGGGTGTGGACTTCTTTCGCTATCATTTTAGCTATAGCCATACTTGACGTGGCACCGGGAGATGGGGCATTGCGAACATGAAGCACCCGCTTTGACAACTGAAAAGAAAATGTATAGTAAGCTACTTGAAAATGTCTACGCATATCTAGGTATTTGGACTTTTTTATGACTAGTCAAGATGACCAAGCTACTATCAGAGCGAGAACTGATACTAATGGCTGAGAAACTCAATTCCAAACTCTCGCCCACACCGTATTATCGTCTTCGAGCACGGTAAAGGGCACGGTGTGGGCGAAAACGAAAAGTTGATTTTCTCGGCTGTGAATGGATCACATGAGCTGTTGCTTGGGCAATGGCTTAGGTAAAGCCTCCCAATCCACGTCCACATAAAAAGAACCAGGTACCCAAATAATCAATCTGACTTACCTCGCCGCTGCCACTATCAAATACAAAATCATCGACTAAATTACCATCGTCATCCATAGCTTGTGCTCGTACACCAGAGGGACCCCTGATGTATCAAATTTTATTCTGCCATATTATAGCTGAAGAAATTTCATACGTTACCTTTTCGCATCACTTCGTCTTAGTTCGGGTATGAACTTTTGGAGTCGTTTCACTTGAGCGCCAATAAATATTCCACGATACAGTTCACTCATCCCATATTTAAAATGTTTAGTCATTAATTTTCGCATTCCACTGAAATTGTGGATTGTGATGGTGACATTTTCAGCAAGTCAGAAGCTTAAGCAGAGCTGTTGCAGATTTTCCTGAATGAGGGAGAGGCTGGGTAGAGGGGGAGGGACTGGCATGAGCCAAAAGGGGCGTGGCAAAGGGCTGTCTCGATTGGTTAACCCTCTCTCCGCGTCTACGAATGCAGTCATATTGCTTTTTGGTCTTCGATTGTAGTTTTTAAATTGAACACTTCACCAATTCAGCTTGTAGATTTGCTTCTATTCTTTGTCTTCCTTCTTCCCCCCCCCCCTTCCCTCCCTTCTTCCATAAACCACCAAAATTTTCCATAGAGTCCCTCAAACAACGTACCTATACAAAAGTGCTTCGGACAAATCCTTTGGCGAAATTGAGAAATAACTATATCCTTCACGTTTATAAGCAAGCACAGCATTTGGACCCATCCAAACATCTCCGTTCATTCTAGGGGTAAAATGCACTCCAAGGAAAGGTAAGCTGGGATCAGGAACCTAAAATTACTCCTAAAGTGATTACACAACTCAAAAGTGTGCGACTTACAGGATAAATGTTGGTCTTGATCAGATCCTTTTTACTTGACTTTAATAACAAGTATTCTCCTCGGAATGGTACAATTTTTGGAGATACGCTACAACCAGTCATTTGCGCTATACGATCCGAATGCAAACCACCGCAAGTGACCAGATATTTTGTGAGAATTACTGACTAAAATTAAATACTTGGCATAGTTGGCCAACAAATGCAAAAAAAAAACGAAAAAATAATAGTTTAGTGAATTTTCCGCTCAAAGTAGTGTGTTTGCGGTGCCTAACGAGATTCTGCAGTATCTATATGCGCGTGAGCAGATACTGCGCCTATAATGCCGGCCACCTGCGCGCGCAAAATGTTGGCATTACTGGCATTTGTTCACGCGCAAATATTACTGCGAATTTCCGGCACAAGAATCACTATTCAGCAGACTCTACTGGACCAAATACTTACGTTCTCCCAACCCGAACGTAGAGCGATTGGATATTTAGGATGCGTTGATTTAGTAATGTTCTTTACTTCGTAGTTGACGAAAGCCTAAAGACTGTCAATAGTGTGGGTATAAATTCTTATAACCCAAGGAACCTACCGTTCCACCTCGTTTTTCAAAATCGGCTGCAAATGCTCTGGTCACCTCTCCCCAATCGACAATTCCCGTATGCGGTGACCATAGAGCTTTTAACCCCTAGAATGAAAATCTTACCATACCCCGATCATAGGCTATACAGAGTTATGTGTGCCGGCGCCATTCCAACGCTGTGCCGGCGTCCATCAATAAATACAAGAGCGCGTCCACGTGAGTCCCAGCACGGCATTGACACAGCGCCGGCACAGCATCTCTATACGCTTAACAATGAATCCTACCCTGCAATGTGGTTGTATCTCCTGAATTCTCTTTCCATCAACCATCTCGATATTTTTGCATCCGTTTTTCTTAGCTCTTTCGTAAAGGACCTGAACCATTTAGTCTACCAGCAAATTTAAGATGCAACATTGAATATTACGCACCTCTAATCTTGGTATTTCCTCTTGATCTACAGCTACAATTAGTTTACCAATTTTCTTATGTGGAACCTTATTTTCGCGAAGAAACTCGTAGGCAAGGTCGATGCCTAAATTCAGAGAAGTAATTTTGAACTTTCACTCGATGTCTTGCGAAAGAACAACCTTCGACACATAGCTTGGCCCTGAGACTTCCAGGAGTATAGTAGATTCCAGCATGTATAACACCACTATTGTTACCGCTTTGATGTGCAGCTGTAAAGGAAATATGAGTGCTTAACCCTCAATTTTTGGGCGGGGATGGGGGGGGGGGGGGGGGGAAGAGGAGCAACCGTAGGTGAGGCTATCTGGAAAAACGAAACAAAACACAAGCCAATTCTGAAAAAAGTGAAATTTGAAGTTTACTTTATATTCAGAAGCGAGATCAAGAATATCAAGTACCGAACGAGAAAAAAAAGAAATATTCTCAAATCTGTCTAGACAAATCTCTGACCATAAATTTTCAAGGCATTTGTATGAACATACTGGACATGGGAAATGCTAAATGGGCGGGAATGTCGAAGGCAGTCAGCCAGTCACCACTCAAATACGAGGAGATACCGCGCCCCATCTAAATTGAAGCGGTGACTGGCCGGCTGGTTACGGCCTCTGCCCATCCAGCATCTGTCGCGTCTTGGAACGAAACTCCCATGTTCTGAGCGACGAAAACGGAATCCTCAGTTGAATGTCAAACCTACCCACTCTCCTCCTCTTCTCTCTCCCCCCCCCCCCCCCCACCTTTTCTTGAATATTGCCTACTACGTTTTTGCTTTCGCATTTGAGACTTAAATAACAAGCACCATGTTTTACTTACCTAACTTACTCTCCTTTTCAAGCATGCATATTCTAAGATTAGGATGTTCTATCTTCAGCTGTCGAGCTGTAGCACTTCCAACAATACCGCCACCAACGACGACCACATCGAATTCAGGCGGAAAACTGAATTTATGAGTCGAATCAGTAGACGAAGAGCCTTTGTCAGACTGGGTCGGTGCAGCGACGGCTGCTTGGTATGTCGTCACGGATCGTCTACTTCCAGACCTTAAACTGAGTTATATTGGAACTAGTCCCACTGTAATAGACTAGAAGGCAAGACAGACCCAAACTTCATATCTTTTGAATTTTTGATTGCTAAATGCTAGTTTTGAACTAATTACGATAGTCTGTTTAACATAGTGTGCTTGCGGTGTCGCGATTGAGCGACCAAGTTTGCGCGTGAATAATTAGCTATGCCTGTAATGCCAGTCACTTGCGCGCGCAAAACGCCGGCATTACTGGCGTGGCCATTTGTTCCCGCGCAAATGTGGTCGTCCAACCCTGGCACTGCAAGCACACCAAATTAAACAAAAAATCTCTAAACTATACTTTTCTAACATGGAAGCCCGAACATTAATTACACTCACTCATATCCAGGACGCGGGTTTGAAATGCAACGTATTCCATGGTTCAGTAGTAACTGACGGGTGTTTCGTGCAAGAGCACAAGGCACTGACATGCCTCGGATCCTTCAAAATGCATATGTTAGTAAAAATGAACAATTATCCGCAGAATCGATCTCTCTGACGTACATGGAGAGAACAGTAAGGCCTTGAAATATAAAATGAGAAGTACTGAGTTGAGAAATGCAGATGGTAAAAACAATTCGTGTTTGGTCAGAAAACAGCCAGTCATTTTTAGCCTCATAAGTACATGTAAGGTCAATAAAAGCCCCGGATTTATTGAAGATCATAAGGTAAAAAAAATTTCAGAGCTGTCGAAACAACAATTTCTGGATATTTCACGGACACATATTAGAATTTCTAACCATAACAATGCACTAGAGCTAGGTAAAGCAGTAGGTTCAAAAACCAATGTAGTACAATATGATCTACCTATTACAAATGTAACAATCTAGAGAGGTATAAAATTCTGAGGAACTGTTGAGAGCAATGACTCAAGAAGATGACAAGGCAAGTTGCAACAAATTACTTAAATGTTTGAAGCTCAAGAATTCCCCCATCGGCTGAAAAATAATGCAAATTTGATTTTTTTTTGTGCAGAACACCAGATATTTAGAGGAAAACTTCGAGTAATTTCAAAAGCGAATATGAAGACTAAAATCAAGAAAAAGAAATCCTACAAGAAAAATAAGATTTGGCTTAGGAGGTTGCACATTCTTGAAAAGAGTTTTTGAAGAGTTTGACTTGCATTTTTGAAACTAAATCCCTGCTGTTTGATGAGCAGATTTATCTATAAGATTTTAGAGAGAATGAGTTCTTATTGCAGTGAATACAAAAAAACTACAGTTCCATTTCACAATACCGTATTACCAGAATTTCAATTCTGAACATCTCAAGCAACGAATACAAAAGTCTAATATCACACAAAAATAAAGGAAAATTGTTAGTATCCGTTTCGCCCCTTCCCTTAAATGGAGTTTTAGTTTCTAGACCCTCTCCGGGACTCCTCAGTAAGGAGAGACGGTCTAGACAATTCTGAAAAGAAGTTTTTCAAAAGAGTAAAAAAAGGCTGAAAAGTTGAAGGAAGTGAAATAATTATGGCGTAACACATGTCAAAAAAAACCTAGATAGTGTTGCAAAAATTTTACAAAGCAACGAGCGCAGGTTTTGATATGATAACGCGATCTTTAAGAGAGACAAACAACTCCTTAGATCATTACTTAAGAGATCAGCGTTTCAATGTCAACAAAATGCGACTTATATGTTCCTTTTCTTAACTTGGCACGAATTTTTCGATGGTCTCAAAGTTATTTAGGGATTGGAGCATATCGTTTGTCAATAAGGATCAGCTGTAAAGTTGAGCGCACAATGCGATGATGAAAAAAGGCGAAAAAAAAAACTAGTCGAAAAAGATGACTGGTGGAAACATGCGGAAAGCACGTGAAAAGCTTGCTATATACAAAGCACGAGCTTTTGGTTTTTTTTTCATTCACTCCGGAATCTAGTTGGTAGAACAGATTCTGCACTCATATATGTCAAATCCGTTCATAACTACAGCTCCATGATCAATATTTAAGTAAATAGAAAATAGATTCTGAGGATACATTGGTGCTACATCTTATAGGCCACTAGCTGGCTTACCCGGCTCCGCCGTATGTTCCAAATAGAAAATTCCATTTCTTAACCGATCCGGACCAAACTTGACACACATACACTTCGGGCCCCGGCGGGTGTCACAGTCCACTTTTCTCTATCGATCGATGCCGATTTTATCGATTTTTTGCAAAATTTGAGCTAGGGGGCTGGGATTTGGCACAGGGGGGTAATCGAGCATGCTGATTACGAATACAATATTAGTTTTCGAAACCGTGCATTATTTTTATCGATTTTATCGATTTTTTGCAAAATTTGAGCTAGGGGGCTGAAATTTGGCAGAGGGGTGTAATCGAGCATGTAATCGAGCATGCTGATTACCCCCACAGGGGTGATCAGCATGCTCGATTACACCCCTCTGCCAAATTTCAGCCCCCTAGCTCAAATTTTGCAAAAAATCGATAGAATCGATAAAAGTAATGCACGATTTTGAAAACTAATATTGTATTCGGAATCCCCATGCTCACTTACCCCCCTGTGCCAACTCCCAGCCCCGTAGCTCAAATTTTTCAAAAAATCAATAAAATCGATATCGATCGATACGAAAAGTAGCCTATGACACCCGCCGGCGCCCGAAGTGTATGTGTGCCAAGTTTGGTCCCGATCGGTTCAGAAATGGAATTTTCTATTTGGAACATACATACACACAGACAGACATACAGACATACAGACATACAAACAGACATTCAGCTTTATATATAAGATTCATAGCACGCAAAGACTGCGGACATGTCGGCGTCTCTATAATCGAGCGCTCTTTCGTTTCTCTTACCATCTGCTGTCTCCTCCATGCAGAAACTATCTTGGCCCTACGGAACGGCGCCCAGTCTTTACGTACCATGAATTGTTTATATATAGCTCTCTTGCTCCAACGTTTTTCGACAATCCAGTATAGGTAGCATTCTGTAGAACTGGCTTCAACTTCAAACCAGTGTCATGCATAAAAGAAACACATATCCTCCTTTTTTACGGTAGGATTGCTGTCAGCCTATAAATGTCATGACTTCGCTGCCATTCATAGAAGTTTCAAGGTGTCTGAATAGCTAGTTGGCGGCTTTACATACTTCAATGATTGACCAGTTCTATGAAGCTTTCTAAACGGTACTACACACTTTTTGGAACGTCGAAAAAAAAAACTCAGCGTTAGTGCAATATGACTTTCGAACAAAACCCTACGATAAAATGCAAAATTCGTATTCAATTCTCAAAAAAACCCTTTGAAGTTGCTACCGTAGTCCCACAGTAAAGAATATCGATCGATTCGCCTACAAAATGGATTCGAGTTTGAGCGAAAGACACTTGAACAAAGGAGATATTAACAATCGAACAATGCACAGTCTTTGGTATTGGGTTGTTTCAAAAGTTCTACCCGTTTTTGAACTTTGACTTTAATTCACCGTAACTTTTTTTCAGAAATAATCGTTGCTATTGCAGTAAACTGTGTTACAATTTACAAAGCTTTGGCTATTCTGCGCACGTTTAAGAATTGCTGAAGTTCAAATGAAAAAGATTTTACAGGCAAAAATTCAGAAACATTTCCTAGTGGAAACCTCCACTTTACAAGATCATAAGTTGACTTGCAATGTGGTAGAATTGCACAAATACTGCTCAGTGGTAGCCAATAGTCGGCTGAGTAGTAACGCTTACATCAGATTTCACCAAATTTTTTCCGAAAAATCCGAAAGGACCCATTTAATTTGCTCTTCCTGAGGTGGCAGAAAATGCACTTTTGATATTTTTGTTCTTGTTCGCAGCTTTCGCTTTCCTATTAATAATTCTTCTAGGCCTAATTACTTTTTAGACCAAAAGTTCCGCGATTGCAATACGGTTATGATTTTTATGCGACTTGGCAGGACCACAACGGCTGAATATTTTTACGCCAAAATTGGTAGGCTCACTTCTCTGAAATCAAATTTTGATAAGCGTTTCGTAGCCAAAATCTCCAGCAAACATTGCATATGTTTGAAAGAAAATTTTATTCTCCGGCTGTAGATTTCACAGCAATAAAGCAAAGACGGAAATTCTCACACATGTTTTGCTGTCCTTTCAAGGTGCGAAACCGCACAGTGAACAAATCCATATGAAAACGAACATCTACATGAAAAATTAGAAGAAAAGAGCTTTTGAACGGTATTGCCAGTATTTATGAAAAATTTACTTCTTCCAGAATTGGCAGTTCGAACGGAGGTACAAAAAACGGCTAGAACTTTTGAAATAACCCAATACATCCAGAATATTTGCTGTGACCGTAAAGAACTTTACTCTACTTTTTCCTCAGATGTTGAAACACACGGAGATGTCCGGTTTAGGACATACTGCATCTCCGCTACCGTACTTCTACCGTATCAGAAGTAGGGAAATAGTTTGCTCCAATCGCAACCGTCTTGTGGTGGTGGAGCAGATTTAAGCTATGGGGCAATTTGTGCACACCCCATTGTTTTTCTCTAATAGAATGTTGTCTCATGTTTTTCTTTGTTCTTTGCTCTGACTAGAAACTGAGGTGAAAGGAATATAGTGCAAGTACGACTTCTAATTAGGCCCATATCATCAATGAGGAAGTGTGTTAATAACTTATCTCTCTTTCTGAGACTAAGAGACTCGAAAGCGCTTTGCACATATGTAACAAGTTTAAACATGTCCTTAACAAATTTGTAACTGTAACCCATCTCATCTAGCATTATGCCCTACTTGGAATCAAGGAAGAACAGGTTCAAGCATGTTTAGACAATGTATGCAAAGCAGTTTCGAGTCTTTCAGACCCAGAGTAAATGTTACGCTAATCAGCAGCAAAAAAAAGCTATCACGAGGCATTTGAGAGAACAAAGTCTGCAGAAAAAAAGATGTTTTGATAAGAGTCGAAGTGATACGAGAGCAATAGTGAATGTAATAAGAACAAGGCAAACAATGAAGCGATCGATCAGCGAACGATTGATAGCGGCGTTTACACTGAAACGTTCAACGAGTTCACCTTGAGTATTGAACTTTTAGACGGCTCTGTTGAGATAAGTGCATTTCTAATGTTTTTCGTCAACAAAGTTCGTTTCTGGTGTTGTCTCGTTATTTTTTCTAAGCTTTGAAAGTGACTAGAATGTTTTTATTACGATTTCTAATAGGATAAGCCTAATCAAACGGCCATTAGAAAATCAGAAACTGGAAAGTAACGAGAAACATCAAATAAGTTTGAGCTATCTACACTTTTCAGTGAACTAGTAAAAATTTCAATTGTTCCTCACGTTCAAAAAAAAAGCATTCTCTTTCTGCACAAAATTGGATAAACATGTTGTTTAGAACGAAAATAGTTGAATAGCCCTGCACTGCTCCAATCAATCTAGTTGCTGCGACGCGGTCCTTGCCTCTGGCTTTTTACTGCACGTTTCCCCTTTCCGCTAACATCGATCACAATCCCGAGAATAACACTCGGGAAAAGCGTAGATGTGTATCCTACGTTCTTATCGGTTGTCGCTGTGATTATTCCTATCCGTACGATAACCCATATCATTCATTCTGAATATATCAGACTCAGAACCGCTTTGCACAAGCGGGATTAACAAGTCAGTACCTGTGTCTACCTTATTTCCGATGATTCACCATTTGGAAAAAAGGAAGAAACAGGTTTGAGCGTATTTTGCAACTTGAGCGTAACGTGCTGGAGCTAGTCCCAGAGCGAATGATATGTCAATCATTTGGTTTTCGTATAACAAAGAGTTCTTCTTTCTTTGTCATACACTGCTTGATTAGAATTTCAATGCAAGCTATTATCGACTCCCCAACTTTGGCGAGGCGGGATCGTGATCTTCACCAAAGATCGATGGATCAGGTATGCCTCAGCATAGGGCAACCGCAACGCAAGGCACGCTAGCGCAGCTACGCCTCGCCAAAGTTGTGGAGCCGCTCATATCTCGACGATAACATTATTCTCGTTTTGTTAGTGTTTTACTATTTTTTACCCGCTGACTGCTTACTAGAGTGTAATCCAAATTTTCCAAGCGTTGAATTTTGCTGCAACTTTACCCATACGTCAATTCCATGACTTTCATAGGGGTTACGTCAGAAGTACGGTCTGTGGTCAAAATTCCAGTGGCCGTATTCATCAACGAAACCCGTGGGTTCCGGAACCCACTGGGTTAGTGCTTTTGATGAATATCGATTCTTCCCTGGAGTAGAATCGATATTCATCAAAACCACTGACTCAGTGGGTTCCGGAACCCACGGGTTTCGTTGATGAATACGGCCACAGACCTCACTATAACATGGGTTACCTGTCAGAGTGAGATTCACTCCATACCGTATACTTACCGTAACTACACCATAACGCTTTTGTAAGAATGCATATATATATATCAAGTAAAGCAAGTCAAAGTGATCTATGCAAAGTTACAAAATCCAAACCTTTGATCCCATACAGTCGAGTAGATTTTCCGCTTAATATGGCGTGCTTGCACAGAAGGTGAAATGCGGTAAAATTTGCGCGTGAGGAAATAGCTTCGACTGTGACGCCGGCCAATTGCGCGCGCAAAATACCGGCAGTGTAGGCGCAGCTATCTGTTCACGCGCAAATTTTACCGCATTTCATAAACTGTGCAAGCACACTATATTAAGCGGAAAATCTTCTCGACTGTACCATCAGCTTACCGTAACCCTACGAAGTTGGCCCTGTCACTAATATTAACACGGTTTTCGTAGTCACTTATCATTCCCGTCCTAGGACGGGCCATCTAAGTATCTAAGTAAGTATCACTCCCACTTCCCCTACCCCTCTCTCCGGACGGCAAGATGTCAAAAAGAAATTTTTTTTTGTTTTAGGGTAGCCAAAGGCTAGTGCCTTTTGTTTCAGACAATTTACGTTTAAGATTTCGAGCGTATCGAAATAAACTCGAAATATTACGAGAATTTTTGGTTTGGTTTGATTTCTTCAGTAAAAGTACGTTTTAGCAATGTTCCGTACCTTGGTAACCCGTGGTGCTCCGCTTCTAAACTTGCATTCACGTCGTTCCATACCACGGTTATTCTTTTCATCGCCTGCTACATCAAGCGCAGCTGCCGAGGATTTGGATTTGTTGAGGTGAGAATTCAAGATACATTTTTTGGTCTATTTTTTTGATTTTTTTCCAATCTTGATCTTTTTTGAACTCAGGCTGATCGCGAGATAATTTTTTGGTTTTTTGATATCGTTTGTTTTTGTCGTAGCATTGCGTTCGCCGTAGAGAACACTTTCGCTATCAAAGTACGCAAGTGGCGTCATTGCCCTTTTGTTTCGGTTGGGCAAGGCATGATGTTTAACACTTTTTTTTGATGCACCGAGCTAAAATTTTCACGGAAAATCTTGCTGTTGCGAATTACATTATGTTTGGGTTTATTCAACCTCGTCATCCTACCTTCCACATGTTCGGGACTATAAGTGTGAAGTCTCTCGTTCCAGTGACTCATGGGATGCTAATTTGTTCAACAGCGCATATTTTTGACTTTTATCGTGCTCTAGGAGACCTTCACTCTTTCTTTGACTTCGATATTGATTTGCTATCATGCACGTCGCATTGGACAGTTAAAGTTTTTCTCCCCCCCCCCAAAGTTCTATAGGTACAATAATGCAACATCATGTTGTGCATACTGACCGACTTGACATCACTAGCGCTGTTAAACTAGTGTTGCCTAACTATTGCGAAGTCTATTGTCAGCCACATCAGCTAAGTTATAATATTTTATTTTACTCAGTTTCTTTGTTTTTTCAGGGCTCGGTTACTTTATCAGAGCAAGAAGCGTGGAATCCTAGAAAATGATCTCCTTATTGGCGTATTTGGTGAGAGATATCTACCAAAGATGAACCTAGAAGAATTGCAGTCATACGACAAAGTAAGTTGCTTCTTTTTTGTTATCGCATTTTTTATATTTGTTGTCTCTTTTGTTTGCTACAGTTATATTTATGTGCCCTGTCATTTTTTCCTTTTTTGCTCAGAAGGGCTTCCTTTTCTGAATCATATGCATCACCACTACTGTTAGTAGGATTTGCTTATCTCCACGTTCTCGAAAGCGCCGCCAGTTACTGTCCCGTACCCCCTATTTTGGGGGATACTGAAAACGCAGAAATTACGCTTACCAAACTTTAACACGTTGACGATCTGGCCATTTCAAAATTCCCACTAACGTTTCTCGCACATTTTGCGCGTGCATACGCGCGTATGCATGAGGTCATATGTGGAGTCTTTTTGGCACTTATTCACAAAAATGCAGTTTTACCGGAATCACATATTCTTTCCAAAAATTACACATATGCAGATTTTTGCATCATCAGAGTGGATAAATTACTGGGTGTTTTTGTCAGAGTTCATCTGTAGTTACTCCTCTAATAGCTATACAAAGTTTCTGATTTTCAGAAAAAAAATGATCAGAACATTTTGACCAATTTAAAGGAGACTAAATGCATAAATTTGCGCTCTATTCTTCTGAACCGCTACCGTGATGTGTGTTTTGTATGACAATCATTCCATTAGTGTTAATACTGCATAAAAGTTAAACTTTTCGTTCTCTGAAAAGGGCGTGCACACGTACGTGAGCACGAAAATACATGGGAGTCAGGGCCATGCGCGCGTATGCCCGCGGTCGTCAACGTGTTAATAAGCTGAATGTTATTTCATAATAGAACAATGAAGTTTTCAGCTCATCAACGGTGACATCATGGAGTGGGACCTCTTCTACTACATCTCTGGCAAAAAAGATCCTCCAGCTGAAGTAGCTAATGCGAGCGCTTTTATATTACTGAAAAACTTTGTTCAGCAGAGGGAGTTTGCTGATAAACCTAAGTCAAAAACTAAGTAGGTTCTAGCATCGAGGACATGTACATTGTTAATTTGTTAGTGCAACTTCAGTGCTTTCCAGTGTAGGCTTAGGATTTGTATGTAGCTCTTTCGTTGTTTCTTGTTCTCAATGAGAATTTGTAGATAAAAAGTGCAGTAATCTTTGTTGCTTTGAGTCACTGAACAAATTTTTAGCAGTGATCACCGCCCCGCGCTTAGTTTTGAACACCAACGCGCGCAGCAGCTGAAAACGTGGAGTCCCGAGCGTGATAGGTTTCAGAGCCACAGGGCTGCTTCGTTCAGACGTACTTTTATAAACTTTCAAAGCCGTGAACAAATGAGACCACTCAGGGTGCTTCGCGATAAGTGTTCACCTGTGCTGGTATCCAAGGCACAGGGCAATCAGGTTTTACAACGCTCGTATAGGCTGCTGCATGACGAAGGCGCAATATCTTTCGGCGCGAACGCGGCTTCATTAGCCGCAGAGCGCATGAGGCGCAGGATTTGCAACGGTGAGGATGCGCGCGCGTCGCGTTCGCCGCTCAGCTAATACTGCTTTTACGCCTTCGTCGTGCAGCAGCCTTTACTTCTATGAGAAACTAATTGCGACGCGAATGTTACGCATCTAGGTACAACCTGTTTTGTACGGACTTGATTATACTGATGTCATGAGATTAGGTGGTCGCTTCTGCGCTATGGCTTGGACGGAAGCGTACTCTTTGTTTTATTAAAGTGGTGGTGATTTGTGCGGCTCAGGTCCCGCGTAATTTTGGTTTGCTCTGCACCTCTTTGGTGAGCGTGCTTTCTGCATTTTCCCAGACCTAGACCAGGAAACGTCGAGTTTCATTTTCTAATTAGAGGCAGCGTCCAGGCAAATGGACCTATGGAAATCTTACGTGGATAATTTTGGGGTCCTAACTAAGGCACTATCCAAGCGGTAGTGCAGGTTACTCACTAACTCCTGAGATATACGCCCCCAAACTGGACCCCAGGATCGTATTTCGCATGGATTCATGGCGAACCTATCAGTTTTGCGCGAGGACCCACGCGAAACTGATGGGTTGCGCCATGAATCCATGCCAAATACGATCCTGGGGTCCAGTTTCGAGGGGAGTATCTTAGCCGTTAGAGCACTATAGGGGCCTGCATGATTGCAAGAGTCGGACGTGCGTACGGCCATTGCGCCGCGCACGTACGATTCCGTCCCACGACTCAGGTAGTTGCCAGACTCACCCTTTTCTGTAGGTTCATCGGGTTCACCCCTTTGCCATTGGTCAGTGCATTGATTTGACCAATAGCGAATGAGTGAACCGGACGAACCGGTTGAGACGAATTCGAAACGCACAAGCGTACCCTGATCGGCGACGCGGCAGCGACGCGCAGTTTTCTCCGCCGAGCGCGACAGTAAGCACGAACTTAGTTTTCTCGCTTTTTGAAGATTCAGACGCCGATCTTGTGCGCTTGTGTATTTCGAATTCGTCCCGACTTTCAAGCGTACGATTATTGGAGCATGTAGGAAGGGCAGAACTGGAACCCTTGGTTTTTTGTGACTTCCTTGCATGCACTATTTGCGTTTAGCGTACCGGTGATGTTCCACAATAAAGTGGAATATCAGTAAAGTCAAGTAGATGTATGACAATGGTGGAAAGCAAAGTAAGACCGCTTAGCGGAGTTATACGTGCTGATTGTTTACCGATGAAGTATTCTTTCCAGCCTTAATTTATAAACTCAGTTGTTAACATTACTAACAAGGAGAGGATACTTAGTCGAAAGCACCAATTTAGATGAGACATATATCTTCTTAAAGCGCTTGAAACGCTGATTCCAGATCTGTAATTTCTAGCAGCGGAGCGCTTTTGTATAAGGAGTTATGAGAAGTGTTTCTCTCTAGGGTTGAGGTGACCCCCAGCAGGTCTCCCCCTATCTATGAGCAGTGTAGAGGAGTACCAACTGGTGGCAACTAGCCTAGTGATAAGTACTTTGAATGAAGATCACAGTAAGGATTATAATACTCGGTATTTTGGTTTTTTAACATTTATAACTTCGATTAGCATCAATATCATCAGAAATTTTAGGCTTTAGGAGTCTAAAACCATTAAGAAGCTTAACTTTGCCAAAATTGCGGTAAAGTTGCATGCGGAGGGAATCAAAACCTTGACACTCTCCTTATCAAACAAGTCACTTACCACTAGGTTAATTGCCACAGTTGGTACTCCTCTACAGTGCTCATAGATGGGGGGAGACTTGCTGGTGGGCGCCTGAACCCTAGAGGAAGAGAGAGCACCCCTCATAACTCCTTATACAAAACCGCTCCGCTGCTAGAAGATATAGATTTGGAACCAGCGTTTCAAGCACTTTAAGATGATTTACGCCCCATTTGGATTGGTGCTTTCGACTAAGTATCCTCTCCCTGTAAGAAGCGAAAAGTTACGGCTTCTTTGCCAACTTGTTGCCAATTCTGGTCTCATCTGCTTGTAAGGGTAGAAAGCAGAAAAGTTCAAATTGGTTTTCGAATGTAGTTTTCACTAAAAGCTGGAATTCGTTAGAAACTAGTTGTGGTCCTACACTACTACTATATGCAATATGTACTTTGAGGCTTGAAACCATATGAGGATCTTTATGACAAAGTCAGATCAGCTATGAGGTGTGAAGTTCCTGAATTGCCGCTCATTATTCGTGAAAAAAGAATCGCGGCGGCTGTGCGTAAACGGCCTCCGCCGAAGTTCGCCGAAGTTTTCGCATCAGGTCTCTGTTCAGAGTGGACTAGTTCTGAAGGTTACCATTCAGCTACTTCGACATGGCACGCCTTTGTATATACATAACTGCCTTAGCTTAGGGTACAGCAGGTAACGTGGAAGATAGTTTTCAGATTCTTTTCCACTTTTTGCTTACATAGGCTGCTCACTGTGACGATTACAAATTGTTTGATGCCAGAGGACATTGCGAGACGCGGTGGGGATGGATTTGCAATAAAACAAATCACCATAAACAATTCGCCTTTCACTTTTCAGCAATTATGTTCTGGATTTGGTTGCGCCCCGAAGTCACCAAGGCTGAACTTTTCACCATGTGCAACTTTGACTAATTCTCATTCTTTATTAGGACCCCAAACATGATTTGAACATAATTTGCTGACCGGCGGATGAGTAAGCATTTCGCAATCCAGTGCCTTTTTTCAGTCTGTGCGGCCTTTCTAAATTAGTAAAGGTGACATTTTGTCGTGATCAAATCCGCCAGTGGGAATTTGACCCTCAGATGTAACGATGCTTCTCCACTGCGTGATATTTCGGTGAAATCAGACTGTGGAGAAAGCCTCTTGGAGATTCGCGGACGAAATCCAAAACCATCTACTATGTGCGCATGGCTGTACCCGAAAATTCCAGACATCAACATTACAAAGTATGATTCCACTCTGTGACAATAGTACTTGATGCTGATCGAGTTCGGAAACCCTTGTCGAAAACGAATTCGGAAAACACAAGCGTACTAAGGTTGACATCTGAAACTTCAAAAAGCGTTAAAACCAAAGTTCGTGCTCGCTGTCGCGCTCGGCGGAGAAAACTGCGGTTGCTGCCGCGTCGCCGATCAGGGTACGCTTGTGCGTTTCGAATTCGTCACCGGTTGAAAGGATAAGGATAAGTTTGGCAGTGAAAACTGTGATAAAGGTTCCATCGTTATCTGTGCAGAATCCTTCCCTGTGCCACTTCTCCATGCAAATTCCCTATCCCCGTTTTCTCAGCATGCTCACCTACCCCCTATGCCAACTCCCAGCCCTCCAGGTTAAACTTTGCAAAAAATCGATAAAATTGATAAAAGTAATGGATGAATCAAAAAAATATTACTGTATTCGTAATCAGCATGCTCGATTACACCCCTGTGCCAACTCCCAGCCCTCTAGGTTAAACTTTGCAAAAATCAATAAAATCGATAAAAGTTATGGATGATGTTGAAAACTAATATTGCATTCGTAATCAGCATGCTCGATTAGCCCCTGCGCAAACTCCCATCCCCGCAGGTCAAACTTTACAAAAAAATCGATAAAAGTAATCGATAATCCTGAAAACTAATATTGTATTCGGAATCCCCTGTATGGTTTTTGCAAAGTATAAAGGCAAGAAGTGAATTTCAAGTAAGGTTCTGTTAGAATAAACAAAGACACCCGGAAATTTTCAGCGAAAGTATCTTGCTCTTAGGGCCAGAAGCGTGGTTTTTGAGTTTTGTGGTTTTTTCGAAGTTTGGAGGTCAAACGTCTTAGCGAAAAAGTCCTGTCGGATGAAACTCATGGGTGTGTCCTTCCCTCGGGAGCACTTCGTTCTTTTAGAGGCGAAAGTATGGTTTTTGCAAAGTAGAAGGGCCAGAAGTGAATTTCAAGCAAGTTTCTGTAAGAATAAACATTGACACCCAGAAATTTTCAGCGAAAGTATCTTGCTGCCTGAAGCCATGATTCTTTCTTCCCTCGGGACCACCCTGTCTTTTTTGCTTTTAGGGTCAGAAGTGTGGTTTTTGAGTTTTGTGGTTTTTGCGAAGTTTGGGGGCCAAATTTCAGTGAAAGTGTCCTGTCGGATGAAGCTCATGGGTCTGTCCTTCCCCAGAGACCACTTTTCTGCTTTCAGAGGCAGAAGTATGGATTTTGCAGAGTGGAAGGGACAGAAGTAAATTTCAAGGAAATTTCTGTACAATTAGGTATTGACTCGTAGAAATTTTAGCGGAAATATTTTGCCGCCTCAGTTTATAAGCCTTTTCTTCCCTCGAGACTATGCTCTTTGTGCTTTTCTGATTTTAGGGGCAGAAGTAGGATTTTGAAAGGTAAAGGCGGACAAAAGTGAATTTATAACAACTTTAGGTAATTTTACCGTCTTCGTCAATTCCGAGTGTGATTATAGAATTCTCAGCATTACTTACCCCCGGACCAGTGCCATCTCAGCCTCGTAGCTTCAGCTTTGAAAGAAAGATTAAATCAATAAACGTAATGGGTAGTCTCAAGAACGGTTACTATCGTTGCAGTGATCGTGCTCACA